ACACACTCCTCCATCGCCTGAACCCTCCATCCCTGTTCCATTTTCTGTGGCTTGTTCCTTGCCCTGTGCCAATTCTGGCCCTCCCAACGCACAACGCCTTTCCTCAATGGTGGGGGACTGAGAGGACACGACGCTGAGTTTTCCTTCTTTTCCCTCAACTCTCAGATTCCTTCCCAGACTCTCCCTCGCCGCCTCGCTACAGCCCCTAAGACTGAAAAGCCTCCAGCTCGGAAAAAAAGTGGGCACCCGGCCCCTGGTAGCACGCGGAGTCGGGGGGGAATCTGGAGATAAGCCCCTTGCCTTCTCCTCTTCTTTGTTCTCTTCTTCTTTTTATTATTTTAATAAATGCTCAATAGTCTGTATGAGAGTCTCTGACTCATAGAAATCTGGAAAATGGAGGTTTTATAAGAAACCACTTTGTGAAGAAACTCATTCTATTCTATTTGGGTATGTTTTTATCTGTTTCTGTTTTATATTCTGTGGGAAAAGACATGAATGCTTTGAAGGAAAACTGTCCGTGGCTGGGTTTGAGAAGTTTCAGTGAGCCTAGGCTCAGTGTTGAAGCGTGACTGGCTCTGGCTCGTAGTGGAATTGTGGGTGATTCCTATTTTCTTCTTTATTCATTTCTGTATTTTCCAACTTTTCTAGAATAAGACTGTATGGCTTCATAACCAGAAAAATACTTTTAATAAAAGAGTAAGTTATTGTATAAAGAATTTGAGTAAAAATTTGATTGTTGGGGAGACAGTTTTCTCTTTTTTAAGGAACAGGTAATTCTTCCAGATTGCATTAGTAGGATTCTGATGGACAGATTCTGCCCCAGCCAGCCTGTATATTATGCTGTAATTGTCACTCTTTTTAAAATATTTCATTTATTTTTATTATTTAACTGTTTTATTTTGGCATGGGGGAAGGTAATTAGGTTTATTTATTTTTAGAGGAGGTACTGGGAATTGAACCCAGGACCTTGTGCATGCTAAGCATGCACTCTACCACTGAGCTATACCCTCCCCCTTGTAATCTATCTTGTGGTTTTAAAACGTGTAAAAGACTAGAGCTCTGGCAAGAAAAAAAGACATGATTGTGAAAACTTCCATCCTAATACCAAAATGAACAAAGAGAAACAATATTAGAGAAGAAATGACATCAGTGTGAAACTATGAAAGGCCCCAGCTTCATAGCACCAACACTGAAAAACCCATAGTATAATTTAGATTAAATTGAAGGGCGATACTGCGGGACCCACACACAGCTTTCCAGCTCTGGAGCACAGTGCGAGGCGGGGATGATGGCAAATACGATTCTGAAGGGTCTGGTCCTGGCTGTTTGGTTGAGGGACAGTTTACTGGATTCTGTGAGGAGGATGAGGTTCTTCTGTTTGCTCCTGAATTGTTTGGTTAGCTCCAGAATAGACTTGGTAAGTATTTCATAGTAACAAATGTTTAGATATTATAGTCAGCCCTCCATATCCGTGGGTTCTGCATCTGCGATTTCAACCAACTGCAGATGGAAAATATTGGGGGATAAAGTCCAGAAAGTTTCAAAAAGTAAAACTTGAATTTGCTGCGTACTGGCAACTATTTACATAGTGTTTGCATTGTATTTACAACTATTTACGGAGCATTTACATTGTATGAGGTATTGTATGTAATTTAGAGACGATTTAAGAGTCCTGCAGGATGTGCTAGGTTATATGCAAACACTTCATTATTTCATATATAGGAGTTGAGCATCTGCGGATGTTGGTATCTGCAGGGGCGTCCTGGAACCAACCCCCTACCTCAGGTATCAAGGGACCACTGTATTTCCTTCCACCTAAAAATAACTTTCTAGCCCCCTGGGGAGGGGGGGAGGGAGGGAAAGAAAGATAAAAACGTGCGACTGGCAGGTG